TAATTAAACAATTTTACATATAAATAAAACACTTTTTGAATTAAAAGTCAAGATAAATTAGACCATCTCACCGAATACTGAATTGTTTTTACATCTATTAGCTTTCAATATTCTTAATGTCTTATAAAAAAAATGTTGGAAATAAAATTTGAAGAGATTTATAAAAGAAAATAATTTTAGATCTTATTGGGGGGAAAATGAACTTTAGTAGTAGTGATTATTCATTAATTATCTGTTTAATTATCTGTATAAGAAGGAATACTTATTAGTTGGGTTAGTTGCATGATGAAATGGATGATTGAGTTGGACAAGAGGAATCTTTTACATGTTATGGGAATAACCAGACACTGCAACAAAACAAATTCACTTCCATGCAATGTTTTCTAATATTATTAAAATATCCAAAAAGGTGATGTCACTACTAATAACCCTGAAATTATTAGTGAAATTATTACAATTACATACCTTTTACTTCATATAATCTTCATAATATATATTATATAATATTAAATGTTTTTGTCAAAAGAGAATTTTACTGAATAGCATTTGTAAAAATAAAAATAAAAGCTAATGAGAAAAATGTCTGTAAATTTTCCTTCAAATACTTTTTAAGCCCTTCAATCAGAAACTTTATGCTTCTTGCTTCTTTCCTTTTGCTTTCCTTGTTTTCTTTTTAATTTCCTCCTTTTTTTTCTTTGCAATTTATGCTAGCAACTGTCTTTAAGCCTTTATCTTTCTTTTAAAGGTTTCTTAGGAATTTCTATTCAAAAAAGGTTTCTTTAGGAATTTTTTTCCTTCTATTGAATTAAATCACTATAGTTTGCATTATTATCCCTTAATTAACGAGAGAGAGAGGCACTAAGGAAAATGTTGTTGACTTGAGTATTACCCCTTAATTAAGACTTTAACTAACTAAGCTAGTTGGCCTGGTTATCCACATCCAAATGTTTAATCAGATGTCTACACAATCCAGTGAAACTTTAACAAACGTGGAGCAGTTTGCTGGTTCGTTACAAGTAAGAATCGATGTTAAGTTTAATTTCAATTCAACGCATGATTTCAAATAGATATCATATGTTTATGTTCATAATAATGCAAATTCATATCATGGCTATGTATATGCACATACTTTTTGACTAATTTTCATCAGACTCGCAATTTAACTCATGGCAATTGTTCAGAGATGTTGTAACAAAATAAAACTGCTACCTCTGTTTATTTTTAATTGCAATAAGGGATATTATTTGTAAGACATAAAAAATTCATTTGTTACAACTAAAAAGAAATGGTAGTATTAAGAAATAAAACAAAAACACTGTATTAATTCATGGAAATATTTTCCTATATGTTCCTAATAAAAATCAATGTAGAAAACATAAAATTGGAGCAAAGATGCATTATCAATCACGAACCTTTACAAGAAAATTTTTGTACCATGTGTCAATTTACAACAATCTTATTATCATTTAAGTAGAATGCACCCATGCTAGTGTACGAATTATGTAATTCATACTAATGTAGTTAATAACTTAATGGAAATGATATATATTTTGGAGGCTATTAGGATTTTTTTTTGAATAAAATAAATAAATGTATTTAAGATGGAATTTATAAAGTTTGAAGAAAAAAAATGCATTAAAAGCTAGTTGTGGTTAAACAATAGAAAAATGACATTTTTGTTTTAAGAATTATGATAAATAACCTTTGTTAATATCACTATATCAGTGTACAAGATCAATAAGTAATATGAAAATGTTCCCAAAAAAATGCATTTTATTAAGGAAAATGCTATACATAACCCTTAGGGCTACATATAAGCATTAAAAATACACTTGAAAATTGTTTAAATTTAGAAAATCATGAATTAATTTCTTCAAAAATAGCTCATGTTTATTCATCACATGACATAAAATTCTTTTTGAATTACTTTATACATAAAATGACACTAGCTAGTTCCTTGGGGAAAAAACATGTAATAGGTTCTTAAGCAAAATAAATTCAACATAAATAATTTAATTTATTTAAGTAGAAATAAGTTAAATTCAGCAACAATATGAAGTGCATATAAAATGCAACTTTAAAATTAAGCTAGTTTAAGTTCAGCAAAAATATTACAAATTTAATTCACAAACATTTTAATTGGGAGAGAAAAAGATCAGCAAGAGTGTTAAGTATGGGTTTAAGCTGCATCCACCATTCAAATAGAGAATTCACTTGATAAATCCTAATAAGGTTACCAAAAAAACCATAAAATTATACGATAATAAAAGAATAGCTTATTAGCTTAATAAAGTGGTTAACCCTCTAGTTATTTTTTAACCAATGTATAATACATACTCACATAGTATATATATTGTGCATGTGAAGCCTCCGCTTTTTTTTTTGTGCCTCCTATGTGATATTTCACAAAACCAATCGCGCTTTAAACAAAACATTATCAAATTCATATAAAATCAATCATATATTATAAAGAAAAATTTGAAGAATAAATTCAAACAAACTTGTACTAATTAAAATGAATCTTGAAATATGGGACTAGGGAAGTATGAGCAAGGCTATGATATGGAGAAGTACAAGGATGCATGTAGTGAAGAGTTCTGAATACGGTGGAATATTTATAAGAGACATTATATCATATAAATGGATGAAAAAAACATGCAATTCAATAATTCAAATTAAAGGAATTAATTCGAAACAGAAAAAAATAACGGGAGATAAGTAGTGATGAACATGTTAGTATCAATAATATTATGGACCCACCAAACCGTCATTCTTCCCACTAATAAAATTAAACAGTTTAATTTAATTAGAGTTAATTAAAAATAATTAGTCTAAATTTCACATGCACACGCATGTGGCCCAGCTCATACACATACCAAATTAGTGGTAGTTTGGTACTACTATCTTTTTTATGAGTAATAGATTATTATATGAATAATAATAATAATAATAATAATAATAATAATAATAATAATAATAATAATAATAATAATAATGTTTTGTGTTTAAGAATTGATGAAAGTGATGCTAATTGCTGGATAATTGACAAAGTGATGAGGTACATTATTTGCATGGGTGCCATGTGAGTTCACAACTCCTTGATTCCATTATTGAGTGAGAGATCAAATGAGTTGGTTTAGGAGGACTTTTGGATGCATGGCTAGCTTGAGTCAATTTTGTTGAAACCTATTATATCCCACTTGTGAGTGTCCCACATTGGAAAAGAGGAGAGATGATTCCACTTTATAAGGTTGAGGAGTTACTCCTACTATTGCCAGTTGGTTTTAGTATGCAAGCTCCAAAGCCTTGTTTGTGAACCAAACTCTCCTCCTCCTTGTTTGGGTTGCCTAGGCCCATTTCATATTATTTCAAAATTTAACAAATTTGGTTTAATAGGGCTATTTTGAGGAAGGTTACATGAACATTCATGGTTGTGTGAGGGGATGGGTTCAACATGAGCAAGCACCAATGATTAATAAATTACGTACCCAAATGGTTGTAATTGAAAACAATTTTTATGGTTGATTATCAATGTCTGGTTATGGACACATGTGCACGATACTTATTGTGCATTAATAAAGTTATAGAGCACAATCGCATATGTAATGATGACTGAAAAAACTTCCTTAAATATTGAATGATGACTGAAAAAAAAAAATTCCTTAAATATTGAATGATGACTGAAGGAATTTCATCTATGCAAATTATTGATCACAAGTTTTTTTTTTTTTTTTTTTTTTTTTTTTTGAAAGAGCAAAATAAAATTTTAAAAACACAATCTTTGCGCCGTCTGTGGGGATCGAACCCACGGCCACGTGGTTAAAAGCCACGCGCTCTACCACTGAGCTAAGAAGGCTTCATGTTTCTAATCTTGTGAGTAATTGCTTAAGAACTCATAAATTCACCTTATCCATAATAACAATACTTTAAAATGGGCCAACATAGATTAGTTCAAAGCCCAATTTCTAAGTCACATCCAGCCCATAAAAGATGTGACCTCTATCAAGGTTAGCAGACTGTTTCCAAAGTTCCAAATTCCAATAGTCCCATTCAATTGAGTTAATTCATTAACTTTTAATTTTTTGCATAATTTATTAAGTTGCAATGTTTTAAAATTTTATCCTTATCATTAAAGAGAAAAATTGAGGATTGTAACAAAACTAACAAACTTTAATAATTCATGCTTTTTTCACTTCATCTTCATCTTATGTTAAGGTGTTTTGATCTAAATATTTAAATATTTGGTCTAAATCTTTGATTTGATTCAATCTGAATTGTTGTGCCTAATAGTTTGGTACAATATATTCTAATCTAACCAGAATAAATAACACATGTTCTCTCTATTTTCTTTTGATGTACTGGTTTACTAATGACTCTTGAGAAAGTTTAGTGAATGTAGGAATAATGTAGATAAACTCAAATGCTAAAAAGTGCAAGAAAAAAAAGTATGGAACTTCATATATTAGCAACTACTTATGATGCATTTTCTTTACCTTATTTCTTTTAACCTTTGTAAATTTATTTGATCTTATTGTAACAAATTGAACCTACGGAGTAATTGCTAAAGAGTACTCCCTCCATTCTAAGTGTCCAATTAGGGGTTTTGACACTATTCATTACATCTACTTTGACCCATGTTTGCAAATTATTCATAAGAAAAATATAATATGAAAAATATAATATTGTGAATACTTGTTGGAATCGTCTCAATGAGTGGATTACTAATAGCCAAACTGTTATAATTTATAGTAAAGGAAAATATCAGTTGTTTTTAAAAGAAAATTGTAAAAAAAAAAAAGAAAAAAAGAAGGTACAACTAGCCAATTACAAAGTGGCATGTGTCACACTAACCTATTTAAGGTTACTAATCGATTACGTCCTATTTATAAAAGTTCGGTTGTTTTATTGCGAAATTATTAAAAAAAGTACTCCGTATTATTCATGACGGAGTCAGCGTAGACTCTTTTCTGTACACCCTATTTTCATTTAATTATGGATTAAGTTAATGAAGGTGAAAAATTGGAGTAATTAGGATTTGCACTTTGCAAGGAACCCCAAGTGAATGGCTGATATTGTAACACACCAAACGACTGGATTGTACATGACCCCTATCATCTTCTTCATCATCTCTTTCCTCAGAAATTCCACTGAAAATTTATAAACTTTTTCTGCCACTAATTTAATCCCAGTATCAAACTCCATGGCAGCATCTCTTCAATCTCTTACTTGTTCTTCTCCACTTTCCCACTGCTCCTCTCACAAATCTTCCTCCAACCCAGGTATTTTTTTTTTTCTTTCTTTGAATTTTTTTCCTAGAAATTTGCAGCATTATATTATGTACTTATGCATTGCATTGCATTTTAATTTCTATTTTTAAATTGTTTGAAATGGGAAATTTCCCAATTTTATGAGGTTGGTTGTTTTTGTTTAGCATGATTGGAGGTGGGAATTATGTATAATTGTATTTCATTGAATTTAACACAGGAACAGTAGTTTGTAGATAATTTCTTTTTTTACACACTATTAATTAATTTAATTAGTTGGAATACAAAAATGCAATTGGAATACAAAAATGCAATTCAAATTCATGATTCTGTACTTATGGCATTGGTAATTATGGGTTTAGCTAAGTGATTAAGGTTTCACTAAATGGTTATTAAATTTTCATCTAAAACAAGTTATATGATGGAAATTTTGTTGAGAACTGAGGAAAGAAAGGTTTTAATTTTAATGTTGAAGTCCCATAGGTTCAATTTTATGTGAATCTATTGTAATGGGATGATGGCTGATAAGTTCATGTGAATATTGAGGAAAATTGAGGGATTTAAATGTGCAAGTTCAGTTTGTTTGTGAGGTTGTTCTTTCTTTTGGAGGGTTTTGGATTAATGGGTTTCTTGTATACAACACGCTTAGTCACCCCGAATCATGTAAATTTCGTAATTGCACAAGGATGACTTTAATATGTTTTGGGGTGGATAAGTTTGATGTATATAGTGTACGGATACACCTTTTGTATACTAGACCTACTATTTTTGTAATGTGGAGGTGGGTGGTTTGGGCCTTTGGGGTGCAGTGGGAGGTTTGAAATTCTTGTTTTGTTAAATGTTGTAGACTCTTGAGTCATTTTACTGACAAGGCAACTATGACATAAGCGTAAAATCTCATTTCTTAATTAGTTCTTGCTGGTTGTTCTTCTGATTAAGGTTTAGAAAAATTAAAAATCTTGGCAGTGACTTTAAATCTTTTTTGAATAACAATGCTCTAGAGTATATGAATTTTAAGCTAGTGTTCTATCTCAATTTAATGATTAAAATTGATTTAGTTTTCTCATCTTTTAGGAATTTGTGTATTCTCTTTGGCTACTCCCCAGCGTGTACACTCTTCATTCAATGGACTTCAGTTGAGGTTTCGTCCAATGAGATGGGTATCACAAAGGTCATTTTCTGCACCGGTTGGTCAGATAGTGATGATGGTTCAACCAAAAATTCAGTTCATCCAAGGCACCGATGAACTTACAATACCAGATGTGAAATTAACCAAATCAAAGGATGGGACTAATGGTGCGGCTATATTTAGATTTGATCAGCCCTCTGTCTTTGACTCATCAAAGGAAGTTGGTGATATAACTGGGTTTTACATGATCGACGAGGAAGGTGTTCTTTCTTCCACCAGTGTGAATGCAAGGTTCGTGAATGGGAAGCCAGCAGGGATTGAAGCAAGGTACATCATGCGCACCCCCCGAGACTGGGACAGGTTCATGAGATTCATGGAACGCTATGCCAACGCTAACGGTTTGCAATTCGTCAAAAGTTAAGGCAATGTACATCCTTTTTTTTTCTTCCCATAAACCCGATTTTAGCATAATTGTGTGAGTTGAGCATATCTCAAAAGCTTGAATCTTTACATTAAGATAAATGCTGCTTTGTTGGTGCTCCAAGTGTTTGATTCTGTGTCTTCTCTGACCATATTTGTGATTCTTTGAATAGATCTGATAAGGCTGGGTGAGTGACATGATTATTCTCTGTAGCTCTCTGTAAGGCATGAATTTTGAAATAATACATAATATATTTTTTAAACTCTGCATTCATTAATATAGTACCAGAATAAAGTACCAACATAAATGAAGTAACCTTGTACTTCAAAGAAATTCTATCATAAATTTGCGGCCAAAGCTCAGATAACATAAAGAACATGTTAGATTTCCTTCTGAATCAGTAGCAAGTCAGAGGAATGTACTGTGTACCCTAGAAACTGTGACATAGTAGCTTCTGCAATAAAATCATCAATGAAAAACACATTGGTTTGTCTCTGCTAGGCGATCAAGCTGGAGAAACATCCTTCAATTATGAATTCTTGCTTGCCCAAGACACTGTAATTGGGCTTCTAACCTTGTAAAGGTTTCGATGTGAGTGTACCCATATCAGTTCTCCTTGAGAAAAGCTAATCGGCTTTGCTCCTTTCTTGGATATAACATAGACTTTATAGCCTAATGTTTGATTAATTCTTCGAAATACTAATCGCTTTGGCTTGACTACAACTCTGACTCCTTCTGGAGCTCTGACTTCCACTGAGTAAATGGAATTTGGTCTGCCCACATTAGTTACACTTCTGCTGATCACCTTAACTGTCTCCCTGCCTTTGAAAACAGGAGTAATTGAAGGGTAATTTAATCCGAACCCCCTGCTTTTCTGCAGTATCTCTTTGCAGCTTATGTTCCTGCGACTGATTGTGAAAATTTCAGATCTTGTGTATCCAAGGCTGCACAGATGTGTGATGTAATCCGTTGGTCTGACATCATAGATTAATCCTGGATCAACTGCTTTGGCAGGGTTGATATGTCCAGAGCCGATTGCAAAGTGGTCTGCAGGAATATTTCCATCCATAATTGGCTTCCCAAAATGGTCAGTTACATCTGCTGTTGTCATCATTGCAGACTTAACTGCAGCAGGGGACCAATTTGGGTAAGCAGAGTGGATAAGAGCAGCAATGCCACTGACATGAGGACAAGCCATGGAAGTTCCCGACATGACAGTAAAATTCACTCTTCTAGAATCTCCTAGAAGACCAGAAGGGCCCAAGTTTTGGGGCCAGGCAGCTATGATGTTTACGCCTGGTGCGATCACATCTGGCTTGAGGATTGAAGGGTTGTTCAAACTTGGCCCCCTGGATGAAAAACGTGCCACGGCTGGTGCTCTTGATCTTCCTATAACAGTCCCTACAAAGTGGATCTTTGCAGTTGGTCGTTTTGTAGAGTTGATGTAACTCTTTAGTTGAGCTGCTTCTGAAAAGCCAATCAAAGTAGCTGGCAAGACATGAGCATCGACTGAATCTTCCTCGAGATTTATCTCTGTGTTTGTTAGAACCATTGCAGCTCCTCCAGCTCTTTTCACAACCTCACCTTTCTCTGCTCTTCCATTTACACCTCTATCACATACCACCATTTTCCCTGCAACTTTTTCACGAGGGAGGGACCCTTCTAGACAATATTCACTTCCCATATCGCCACCTGTTATGTAAACTACTTCAAGCTCTCTTGCAGCCCCTGGGAAATGATTTCCCGGGAACAGGGACTCCCCATAGAGGTATCTCCCAGTTCCCATTCTGACATAAGCAGGAAATCTCCTATCAAGGGTACTTGCTCCCACAGTAGTGACCCAAGGAGCCTCATTGGCAACTGAGTTTCTGGTAGGACCGTTGTTTCCTGCTGCACAGATGACAGAAATGCCTTTTTCTGCGGCGTGGAAGCTACCAATTGCAACAGTGTCATCATAGAAAGGGATTGGAAATCCTCCTAAAGAAAGAGAGAGGACGTCGACACCATCTCTTATTGCCACATCCATTGCAGCCAGTATGTCAGAGCTGTAGCACCCATTAAACCAGCACACCTTGTATATGGCAATGTGGGCTCCTGGGGCCATCCCTTGTGCAATCCCTTCCCCATTGCCAAGCAAATTCGCCATTGGGACCGGTGATCCCCCAGCCGTGGATGATGTGTGGGTCCCATGCCCAGAAGAATCACGGGCAGACACATACTCAGGGTTTATCTCTGGTGATAATGGTGAATTAGCCACATGATGACCTTTGATAAAGAACCGAGCACCAATGAGTTTCCTGTTGCAACTCGAAGCATTGAAGTTCTGCCCTTCTTGACAAACCCCTCTCCATTTCCTAGGAGGTGCCGGCATCCCATGATCACTGAAGCTCGGGCTCTCAGGCCAAACACCAGTATCCAATACACCAATGATCGACCCCCTCCCAAACTCGGTCCTAGACCAAGCCCCAATTCTAGGAGCATCAAGCTTTAGAAACTTGTAGGAGTAAGTAGTATGAAGCTCAAGCCTCCTATCAGGTCTAACCGCAATGACATCACGCATTCTCCTTAAGGACTCTACCTCAGAATCCGAGAGAAGAGCTGCAAAACCTTCTATTGCTGACCGATAAGAGTAAAGAAGACGAGAAGAATGATCAGCCTCTTCCTCTACAGACACCGTTCCCTCGAGGAAAGAGAGGTGCCAATCAAGCTTAGAAGTATAATAAGAAGCAGCAGTTTCACTTTGTGGGTGTAGTTGTACAATGTAGGTTTGGAGGGGTAAAAGGGCACTAAGAGAAACCAAACAAAGTAAAAGGGTTGATAGAAAAAGCAGAGTTTTTGGTGGTGATGCCATTTTCGAGTATGTTTATTGTTAAAACTCGTGTTGGGGTTGTGGTTCATGGTGCTTAATGGTGGGATTCCGGGGGTATTTAAAGGGCCGGGGTGCGTCGAGAATTCGAAAATGCTCAGAGAAGAATATGAAACTCGTGAAAGTACAAGGAAGAGCAGAGCTCTACCTCACGAGGATCTTTGGGAGGGAGCTGAGGTAATAATCTAGGAATTTTGCTAAGGACTTTCACGAGATATTATGGTTTGTTTTAATATCTACATGCATAAATTTGTGTTTGAAATGTTATGATAAAAATGCTTCACATTAATTAATGTTGAATATACCTGGTTTTGAATTATTGGTTGGTTTGACATGAAAGAATTCATATTGATAGAGGAAGAAGATTTAGCTTATTTATTTGGAAAATTTGCAAATTGCAGCCATTTAAAGTTCATATTTTGCAAATTGCAGCCATTTAAATTTTTTTTTGCAAATTGCAGCCCAAAAGTTTGTATAAATTGTAAATTGCAGCCTGATTCAATTTTTTCATCGGTTTATATGTTGAAAAATCTCCGGTTAAGGTTTTAGGGGTCATTTTAGTTCTTAGGGGCCCGAATTGAGCTCGGAATTAACAAAAAAATAACGTAAGTATCTCGTTTTGCGTAACAAAAATGTATCGATTTGTGGGAAACTGTAAATATGAGACACTTACGTTATTTTTTTGCTAATTCCGAGCTCAATTTCGGTCCCCTAAGCCCTAAAATGACCTTTGAAACCTTAAATGAAGATTTTTCAACATGTAAACCGATGAAAAAAATGAATTGGGCTGCAATTTACAATTTATACGAACTTTTTGGCTGCAATTTGCAAAAAAAAATTTAAATGACCGCAATTTGCAAAATACGTAGTTTAAATGGCTGCAATTTGCAAATTTTCCTATTTATTTATTATTTATTTTAAAGTTTTTTATTATTATGCATTTATTTTGCACGCTCTTGGAACTTTGGAAAACATTTGCATGGCTCCTTCGGCACGTGCGGCTTGTGCCTTTACTTGGGGGAAGGTAATTGATTCATACTCTTATGGGCCGTTGAGCCCTTTTAATAAAATTCTTGATTTGGTACTTTTTGACATTTTTTGAAAAGAGGTTCATGAATCATGGGTTTGAAGAATAAGATGGCTCCAATTTTTAATTTCCTATGCAACAAGATGGCGCATGGTAAGCCCAAATTTTAATATTTTTTTTTTTAAAAAAAAAATATTAATTATATCTAACAAATAAAGTTTAATAAAATATAGTACATGTCATTAGAGCTGTCATATCGCAAATTTTAAGCTGGTCTCGAGATCAGTCATAGCTAGCTTGTCCTCCCCAACAAAAATGAGCATTTATTAGAAAAAAAAATGAACATTTATAATATACCAATAAAAGAGATTATGAAACTAAATGTTGTTGTTTATTCATCAATATTTTTTAAAACTTCAAGTGAAATATCTTAATTTATTCAATTTCTTAAATGGATATTTTGCAATTCGCTAAACTATATGATTTAATACCAATTAAATAAATCAACAATATGCTTTTTTTTTTTAATAATGAACAAAATGCTAATGTTTTTTGAACATCCTTTACTATAAAAACGAACATTTTATTTAACTAAACAATTACAAAAATTTGTATTAATTATAAAAGAAAATGAACATTTATTTTATACAATTATTTGTCATATGGTAGATTTTTTATCTTAATTGCATGGCCATTGAGGAGAGAATTATTTATCATTAAATGAGTATTAACAAAAACAAAAAACAAAAAAATCAAAAATTAAAACCAAAATAATAATTAAGCACTTACTCCAACAAAAAAAGGGTAAAATGTCACATTTGTAAATTTTTATACCAATTTGTCATTGTTTGTTAGCTTTTATACCAATTTATCGCTGGCGTTAATTTTTATATCAATATGCCACCTAGGTACTTGATAAGTCGTATATTGAGCGTGTTTTTAGAGTTCATTTAGGTAGTTTTCAAGCTTAGATTAATTGTTCATAGCTTATTTTAGCTTGTTTTGATTTGGTTGTGATCATGTTGTGTTTTTATGGGTAGTTTCGTTGTTTTTGATGTATTTCAGGATGAACGAGACTAATTTGGATGGTCACGACAGTTTGTTAAGATGGAAGAGTGATGATACCCGTGTCCGCCCTGGCAGGGCAACATTGCCCTGGCAGCCAGGGCGGAAGAAAGAGAAGAGACAAACGAAGATTACTACGAAGCATCTTCTTCTCATCGCCCTGGCAAGGCAATATGTTGCCCTGGCAGCCAGGGCGGAGAAGATTTGTATTGATTACAAGCTTCGAAGGTCAGTCGTGGAGTGTGTATTGTGCGCTCGACCGGGCAGCATTGCTCCGGCAGACCGG